CCATGCCGGTGGATCGAAACGCTCCACTGGCCTGTTCAGCCACCCAGTGGCTCCTTCAAGACCTTGCTTCACATTCTGAACTGTTTAGACTGTCGCAGGCCGCAGCATGATGGTGACTGCGAAGTGCATTTATGGTGCAAATGGTGCTTTGTTTACTGGGATGCTTACATGTCGAGACAACATGGGACAATGTGCGTTTGTTACTTGGGCGCGGGAGCTCCCATGCACACACTGCGGTTGCTAAGACATGCAGATTCCAGCGCCACCTGAAGGCTTCTGCAGCCTTTGTCTCTGAAGCTGAGGCTAGAACACCCTCTGGTGTAGACTTAAACACCAGGGCGACGGCTTTGCAAATGCTCACGGACCTCGTTTAGCATGTTGCCGCTGGGCTTGAGGGAGCACGTATCAAGAGACCGTGATCTAAGCGAGAATCGGGGCTGCAACAAAAGCCTTGTGTCCTCGACTTAACTCTTCATGAGCTTTGCTGTTTCTTTTGTATACAGCTGCGCTACAGCACTAGCACGCTGAATGGAATAGTACAGCATCGAAAGAAGCTGCTGCGTGCGGCTGCAAGAACCGCTGATGGCCAAGCAGGCTTGCAGTAGAGCAGCTGGGATCAATGAGCTAGGAGAATCAAGGATGTGTTGGGTGTGCTGTTCTATTGCTGAAGCTTCCCAGAACTCGAGCAGCACTGACGAGGTCGCTGCAGGGCGGCGAAAGGGCAAGGTGCAAAATGCCCGGGTTGGCAGCGCCTGGCATAGTTTGGTTCGGTTACGGTTCAAACCTTCGGATACCTGCGTTGCTCTGCCTGTCCCGCTCAAACTTGAGATTTTCCCCTCATGCTCGCGCTGCAGGTGATCCGCTGTGTTTTTCCCGATGGGCGCGATGAAGCACGGGCCCATAGTTGAGCTCTGGAACCCCTTGCTCTTCTTGAAGACATGGACAGGACCGCCGCGCTGCTTGTTGAATTATAGATATAATATCTGGACATAAACACAATGACTTACATATAATGTACATCTGTAGATATCAACCATGCACCAGTAGGCACAGTTACCCAATGCCGTCGAAAAACAGCTCAAAGAAGTCTACGAACAGGAGTGACTTAAGCCAAGGTCCGCTTTGTGGCATTGAACCTCAAGCTGGGACGGAACCTCAGTCGGGGGGTTGCCGACAAAGAGGGCATCCCTGTGCATCCTGAATCTAAGGTCTTAGGTCCAGCTTACGATCCCTTTGCGGTGCGCATACTGTAGGATTCATTAGGATTCCGGCTGTCCGGTTCGAAGTCAATCTGGTGTCTTCCAGATCCAGGCTTAAGCTAACTATGAGGTATACGGTATATGGACTAAATCCGCCAAAGCTTCCGGCAGTCAGCTCGAAATTCGAGCTTGCCGCTAGTTGCACAGAGAAAGGCCTAAACCCTAAAACCCGAACAGCCCTGGACAATCCTAAACAACTTCACCCTGTGTATCCTTGGGAGGATGCCTCGATTTTTTCGAAGTTTTCATTGACAACGATGAGAAGGATCGCCTCGATGTTGCGATGGTGGTTATTAGGGTTCAGGGTATGAGGTTTGGGCCAAGTAAGGGTTTAGGGTTTCAGGTTGTAGGTTTTGCGGTTCAGGCTTAAGGCATTGTGAGTTGTGGTTTTAGGATTCAGGGTTCAGGCCTTATCTGGGATTTAGGGGCTAGGTATTTTGGCATGTAAGTTCTAGGGCTTGTAATTGTTCTTAGGGCTTTCCGGTTCAGGATTCAGGGTCTTCTAAGCTTCAAGGCTGAGGGATTGGGGCGCGGATAGCTCGAGGCAGGGATTGCTGGATCAGAAAACGGCGATGAAACGAGTAGATAAACTCGATAAGCTGTACGGACAAAGGCGTTAGCAATCTGCCGCGACAGTCTGGTGCAGTAACCAGAGTAGGAGTGGTGCCGTGGGAAGAGCTCTAATGCTCACATTGACATTGTGTTGAGAGATTAGCCAGCTGCTTCTGTTTGTCTATGGAGACATGTCGACGTTCGTGGACAGCATCGCAGATTTCTCGTACCTTCTCGGCGATACTGGTACTTTGCTTTTTAAAAGTGCCCACTAACCGCTGAGGATTTTTTGCAGCGAACTGTAATACGTTGCATGTGCTGCATGTGAATCAGGTGACACTGGGCGAGGCCACGCGCGCGCCATTTGTGGGCAGCTCAGCTCGCGCATTACGGCTCTTGGGCGCCACAAAATAACGACCTTACTCTGTGACCGGAGGCTGCCATAAAGGTGGCGGGTGCAGATGGAAATGTTGTTAGGATCTCCAGCCAGGCATGGGGTAAAAGCTGGCTGAGCTGTCACGGGAAATTTGAGAGCGGAAGTCGCCGCACGACGCAGTCTGGAATGCTCGTGGAGATGACCTTCGCACAAGGCAGGAGAATATGATGGTTTTCTACCACCAGACTGGCACAAGAAATGTAGAGTAGGTCATCCATATCCTGCAACACCAGTGGTGGTTGAAGGCCCAGGCCATGCAAAAGCATGGGCTGACTTCATCAACCAGGCCTCTTCGCACATCCGGCAAAGAATTCCGCGACTTTCTGGTAAGCTTGCACAGCTTGTTTCGGTCTGCGAGGCCCGTAAGGCTGCTGGGACCTGAGAAGCAGAAGCATGGATAGCGCATTTTGGAGGGGTCTTTGCATGACGAATTGAGGGTGATCATTGGCGCTGCCTGCAGTGGGCTTAGGACACCTCCAAGTTGCCCCAAGAAGGAGCAGGCCCTTTTGCTTCCTCACCTTCTCAGCCCTGGTCCCCTGGTCCCTTCGGTAGACATAGAGAGGCAATTCAAGGCAGGTCTACCGGTATACCACACTGCTTGCTGTGCATGGCCATTCCAAGAAAAAGCAAAAGACTCGGCCGCAGCTCTGTCCGACAGGACTTGGTGCTCAGCTGAGGGCTGCGGTTGCCAAGCAAGAGGAGCAGGTGCGCCTGGCACTATATCGTGCATAGATCCGGCCTTTGGGTTGGCTTGTCGACGTGACGGCTTGGATTTTCAGACTCGTTCGAAATCTTAAGGAAGAGGCAGATGCAGTTTGCAGGTTCGGTCCGGATTCAGGTGCGCCTTTTGGAAGCCCTGGTGCAGCGCAAGGGCGAGCAGCAGCAGCAGCTGCAAGCACACCTCGAGGCGCGGAGTTTTCTAATGTCCGACGAGTTTCAGACGGTTGAACTGGAAGATGGCGGCATGTCGTTGCAGGGGGCTGCTGCACGCATCTACAGCAACTTACGATTCCCGCGACTGTAGTGACAGCAGGACATAACATGACATAACATGTCCTATAGGTACGGTATGGCAGTTCTCATTTCAAGCATTTCAAGCAGTACCCGCTTGCACAGGGGTTACTCGAAAGACTCGATCTCGGCCCCTGCCTGAGTTCCAGCAGTAATTGTTCAGTGGAGGGGGGCGGGGGGGGGGGGTTCTCCTTAGGGTTTAGGGTTTAGGGTTTAGGGTTGTGAGGGGGGGGGTTCTCCTCTTGCATCTCAGTTCGTGTCGTGAGCATCATTGTATCACTGGCCGGCAAACCTGAAAACAACCAAAACCGCCGCCGCGGCACCACCACCCCTGGACTTAGATTCCCTTACCTCTGCTTTGCCCCCCCACTTGATGCTGATTGATGCCCTGGCAAGCAGTAAAGACCGAACTTCTGCATAAGATTATCGCAGTCGTTTGGTTGCTCGTGCTGTCTCTGTGGAGTCCCACAGCATTTTGTCCGATTGCTCGGGGCGCCACACTTTCTTCGGAATGGAAGCTCTGAAATCCGAAGTGTGATTCACGTGAGTTGCTCACGATCACTCTCTGGAGAGTGTGCTGAAAGGATCAAGGCCGCATGCTGTCAGCTGTGGTTTCGGGTTCCTCGGTGAGGCTTTACAGATCTTCGTTTTGAGTTGACCCGCTAGCATTGCATTGCGAATCTCGGGGTACACGACAGCTGCAGCAGGGCGGTTGCAAAACGAGCACGCCAAGGCAGCACAACTTCCAATGCACCATGCCTTGGGCATTTTCTTACAACGGGCAGCCCTCTACTTCTAGGTGTGTGTGGCAGCATGCATAATTCACAAGTGTAAACGGCCTGTTTCCTGGTAGTATCGGGCTTGTGCGCAGCCATGGGCGGTGCACAGGCATCGCTGTGCTGCTGATGGGAGCGGCAGAAGCTGCCCACAGATTTCCCGCCTGGACACGCGCCCCACGAGCCCTCGGCAAGGGCGGCTACACCTGACATTGGCGAAGACGATGAAGAGGTGGACTTCGATCTTGCCACGCAGAGCCCTTCCTGGAGTATCGCCAGGTTGCACGGATCAAATTTTTGATCCGTGCCACCTGGCGATACTCCAGCCACAGCATGCCAAGAAGTATGCGACCGTGCAGAGACAAGACAGTCAGTCTTGTGGCGGCAGGCAACATGGAGGAGACGATAGTGGAGTTTGGGGCACATCGTGCATTGTGACATTGGGACAAGATTGGCGGAAACGCTGAGGCTCTGTCTATCGCCCGAAACCGTTAAGACTGTCTGTGCAGAATCACTGCTGGTGATGGTGCCCCATCGCGACATCGTCCACCCCGAATTCCTGCGAAGTGCACAGCTGTTTACACATTTTCGGCAGCACTTTTTCAAAATACACTCCCAGAATCCAGTCAACTCTGTGGTGTTTCTCTACCGCAATCCAAAGATTGCAGGCAACGGGCGACGTGTGGTTCCGGAAGATGCCGAGAAAG